ATATAAACAGTTGCAGTATATATATATATATATATATATATATATATATATATACTGCAACTGTTTTGAAGAAAACAAAACTGAAACAAACCAAATTAAACTGATTATTTGATTGTGTTATTAAATATTTCAAAAGCTTTAAAGCAACATTTATTTTATAAGCACTTTTGTACTAAGTGTTTTGTGCTTAAGAATTCCATGTTGAAATATCAGTTTTAAACCACATTGAAATTTTTTTATTCAAATAATATACAACATTTTGTAAATATATGTTTATCTGAATAATACTGATTGCAAGGCGAACAGTAAACGTTGATTTCACAAAGAAATTGATGAATTAGATAACAATTGTTTATTTATTATGATAATGCATAAATAGTGTTTTTATTATTTTAAAAGAAGTTAATAGATTAATTTTGCACTGCTTCATATTGGAGTGCAAACTTGCAAAGACTATAATGATTCAAAGGTAAATGAATTTATATTTTATAAATAGGTAGATGATGCAGAATTACAGGATGAACCTTTACAAATTAGGCTTATGGATTATGATACATATTCAGCAAATGATGCAATAGGAAAAGTATATATTAGTTTACATCCATTGTTGCTGTCTCCTGCTCTTGTTGTTGATAATTATGTTGTTCCCATTTCACATTCTGGGAAAGGTATTTATGTAAATAGCATAGTATGGCAAGATTTCATATTTGTATAGATTGACCAAAAGGCTTACATAATTTTTTTTTCATAAAATGAACGAAAATTTGATTTAAAAAATCTAAATTAACGATTAAGTGTCATAAAAACATATGCCTTGAAGCTGAATCTGCAATTTTTTCAATTTTAATTAGAAAAATGAACAAGTTTTAAGTTATACAGCACTGTTGAATCCTTAGTACTATCTAAAAATAATAAATGGAAAAGTATAGTATAGTATTTATTACTATGATGTATAATTGTATTTTATAATATGATTAGTTTTGTTATATTTTGAGCTATACCTCACTATGGTGCATTTTTTTATATTTTTATATCACTTCTGTTCTATATATACACACACAGATATATATATATATATATATATATATATATATATATATATGAGTGGTCTCTAATCGAATTTCCTTGCTCCCAAGGGCTCACATGGTTCGAAATTGATAAAAAACGATTCTTTGAAAGTTTTAGCTCTCAATATTAACTTTTAGATAGTGCGCAATTCAAAATTCGTATGGAAATAGCATGGAAAAAATTTTGAAAATTAAAAAAATTAGGTATAACTTAGCTACAAATGAATTAAAAGTGAAAATTCGTGTCATTTTTTATTGAAAATTCGAAGCTTTGCAAAATTTTTGAAATCTTTTTTATGCTATTTTCATACAAAACATTGATTGAATTGCGCTCTATCTAAAAGACAATATTAAGAACTAAAACTTTCAGAGAATTGTTTTTTATCAATTTAGAACCATTTGAGCTTGATGTCCATATTAAGGACCACCCTAAAATATATATATATATATATATATATATATATATATATATATATTGACCAGTTATGTTGATTCGGGCAGTAACACCAAGTAAAAAAAACTAAAGCAATTGTGATGAACTTTATTTAACCATACATGTAGGTCTTCGTCGAAACTGTTATTCTGTGGAGCAACTAAAATGTTTTAAAATTAATGTAAAAAAAAATTATCTAAACTTATAGAACTTACAGATAAATCTTTACAGAAAGTTAATTACACATAAATACACTATACTAATTACAAAATTTTAAGTCAAGCTATTAATAATTCAAATCTATATATTCAGTTTACAATTTTGAAATTACATATTTTTGTACAATGTTGTTGAAGTCCAATGTTGCTTACAAAGACTTTTTGAAGATGTAATATAAAACTAGTATAACACATGTTTTTGGTAAAGTAATAAAAATGACACACTTAATTCTGATTTAATGGTGTTTGAAAAATGGTTAAGGAATATTTTATAGTCATGGCGTACTTGCATGGATATTGATCCAATTTTGATAAGTATTTTTTGCCTGTTGGAATCTTGCTTTAGTACTTTTTATACTATATTTTAACAAATTTCTATTTTTTTTTTTCGCAATAGGCGGTGTTATGTCTGGATGGATACCTGTGTTTGATACAATGCATGGTATTAGAGGTGAAGTAAATGTTATTGTTAAAGTTGAATTATTTTCTGATGTGAACAAATTCAGACAATCGTCTTGTGGACTACATTTTTTTCACTGTAAGCAATTCTATAGTTCATAAACAAAATCTTTGTAATGTTTTCAATTCATGATGTTTTCTAATGACATTGAAGATGAAGATAGTTTTATATTATTTTCAGTATTAACACTGAGATTATATTGTACAAACATCTATTTGTAGCTCCAATAATTCCTCACGGTTACCACGCTCAAGCTATACATGGCTTTGTAGATGAACTAGTAGTTAATGATGATCCTGAATACCAATGGATTGATAAAATTAGGACACCTAGAGCTTCCAATGAAGCACGTCAAGTTGTTTTCCTCAAATTATCTGGTCAGGTATGCTGATGATATGAATCTATTTTATTTGAATAGTTTTCATACTTGAGAAAGTAATACTTTTAAATTCTCCATTCGTACATAATTTGTTTAATCATATAACACATCATATTAGATGTAACATTGTTGCTTTAGCTTTTGAAATTGTTATAAAGGAAATTGGTTTACATTATCTTTTTTTTTTTTACTCAATACCTACATTATTTAGATATAATTTCATCACTACCTTTGGAATTAAATGGAATAATTTTAAGTTTTTTTAATTTTGTGTGGAGATAATGATTGGTAATCAAAGCCACTGCATTTTTGTTTTATTTTTATTTTTTCACATGCTAAACAACACAAATGTAGCATAATGTGAAATGGCAAAAGTCCATTGCCAAATGTGAAAAGATTTATGTAAAAACGCAAATAAAATAATAGTTGGTTAACATTTTGATTAGTGCTATCTATGTCTTTCATCATTAAGTTGATTCACTAGTAACTCATTTTTGCTTCCCAAATCTATTCTTCACTTCACTGACCACTTCTCTTTTCAGTTTTATATAATTCATTCTTTATTATTATTATTAATTGTATTTTATGTACTATGTAACTCTGAAATTTTGCAAATAGATTATACATTTTTATAAACATGTTTGTTTTTAATCGACTTTCTTGTTCGATGCACAATATAAAATGTTCAAAAATTCTATATTAATCCATCAAATCTGTATATGTATGTATGCATATATATATATATATATATATATATATATATACACCTAAGTCTGTTTTTACACGGAGATTGGTTCCAGAAGAAGTCGTGTAAAAAAAAAACGTGTAAAAACAGACATTGATCTTATACAAAAATGGGTGATTTGTTCTAATCTCTAAAATCTATTAAAATTAGTGAAAAACAAGGATTTTTAAGAACAAGAATTCATGTTTATTTTATTAAATCAAATATATAATGCTTAGTGCTATTCACATTTGCTTTGACCAGTAAAAATTGTTCGTACGCGCTAAAGGGGAATTCACTTAAATTTTTAAGCTAGTGTTCGCAAACTATCGATACTATCGATGGTTTCAGACTTTCTCTTTCATAAATACTTTTTTTGTGATATGAACATACTTCGCAAAAATTAAATTTGACAAGAAAAATTATGTACATAAATTCAAAAATGGAATAAAATCGTGTAAAAAAATTAAAAATATTCAATTTTCAAACCGTGTTATATCAAAACCGTGTACAAAAAGACCGTGTAAAAACAGACTTAGGTGTATATATATATATATATATATATATATTTCAAAGTAACTAGCAGCCCATTCGTCGAAATAAAAAAGGTATAAAGTGTAAATACTTTTATTTATACGTTTCGACACAAGATGCGTGTCATCATTCAGCAACACAGGACAAAAACACTCAACAAAAATTTATTTTAAAAAATTAAACTTAATAACATATTAGAGAAAAACATTTTTTTAGAAAAAATTATGAATAACTAAAAGATTTGAAACTAATTTGACTAAAAGACTTGAGTCGAGTCTGGATGCTCGGTATGGGCGTGTTTCTCGTCTCACAATTATGTATTTTATAACTTTTAGTCAAATTAGTTTCAAATCTTTTAGTTATTCATAATTTTTTCTAAAAAAATGTTTTTCTCTAATATGTTATTAAGTTTAATTTTTTAAAATAAATTTTTGTTGAGTGTTTTTGTCCTGTGTTGCTGAATGATGACACGCATCTTGTGTCGAAACGTATAAATAAAAGTATTTACACTTTATACCTTTTTTATTTCGACGAATGGGCTGCTAGTTACTTTGAAATATGTTTCAACGTCGAAAAAACTATCAAGATATATATATATATATATATATATATATATTAGGGTGGTCCTTAAAATGGTCATTTTCGAATTTCCTTGCTCCCAGGGGCTCAAATGGTTCCTAATAGATAAAAAACAATTCTCTGAAAGTTTTAGCTCTTAATATTAACATTTAGATAGAGCGCAATTCAATCAAACTTTGTATGGAGAGAGCATGGAAAAAAATTTGAAAATTAAAAAAAAATGTTTTAGGTATAACTTAGCGACAAATGAATGAGTTTTATTCATTCATTTGTTCGCTAAATTACATCTAAAAAACATTTTTAAAATTTTTCTATGCTATTTCCATACAAAACTTTGATTGAATTGCGCTCTATCTAAACGTTAATATTAAGAGCTAAAACTTTCAGAGAATTGTTTTTTATCTATTTGGAACCATTTGAGCCCATGGGAGCAAAGAAATTTGGCCATTTTAAGGACCACCCTAATATATATATATATATATACATGTGCGTGTATGTGTTTTCTGATAAATATGCATCATATAAGTTTACTGAATTTGTAGGTGCAAAGAAAAATTGGCCTAAAGGCTTTAGATTTAGGAGCAAATGCTGTAATTGGATATACACAATGTTTTGACTTAGAAGCAGATGTTGGTGTAGTAGCAAGGGGTGTAGGTACAGCCGTTACTCTTGTTAAACTTCATGACGTCAGTCATCAAACTAATAATTACAACACACAAGATTCTGCACAAGCTGAAGAGTGAGTATATTGTATTTTTTGTCAATTAATGGCAGCTGTAACTATATATATATGGAAATTTTTTAATTTCCTTACTCCCAAGGGCTCAAATGGTTTCAAATTGATAAAAAACAATTCTTTCAAAGTTTTAGCTCTTAATATTGTTTTTTAGATAGAGCGCAATTCAATCGAAGTTTTGTATGAAAATAGCATGAAAAAAATTTCAAAAATTTTGCAGAGCGTCGAATTTTCAATAAAAAATGACACGAATTCTCACTTTTAATTCATTTGACGCTAAGTTATACCTAAAAAAATTTTTTTTTAATTTTCAAAAAAAAATTCATGCTATTTCCATACGAAGTTCGATTGAATTGCGCACTATCTAAAAGTTAATATTAAGAGCTTAATCTTTCAGAGAATTGTTTTTTTTCAATTTGGAACCATTTGAGCCCTTGGGAGCAAGGAAATTCGAAAATGTTCATATTATGGACCACCCTAATATATATATATGTATATATATATATATATATATATATATATATATAAAGGACTGTTATGCATTGTTTAGGAAAATATTGTGGATTAAAAAATTACTGCATTATTTAACATAATTGGTGATATGTATGACATATTGATATATTATTGTGTAATATATCTAATGATAATTTTCATTGCGTTACCTAATTTTATATGGATAAAGTGTTTTAGAACTTGCCTAAATAAGTTTAAATTTAAATGTATTCGTAATATAAAAAGGTGGACAAGTAGTAGGTGGAAATTTTGTTATTATTTCTAAACAGTTGATTGTATATGAATTTGTTGTAAAATGTGTGTTCTGACTTTTTGCAATGATTATTGAAAATTGAATATTATTGATATTTACATTAGGGTAGGGCGGGTCTAGTTGAGCAAATTTTTACTTAAACGGATGTAGCTCCTCAATGACAAGTCTCAATAAATTGTTATGTGGCTTGATGGATTTATTGTTTATCTCTTAACAAAAATGTCAATAGTATTTTGTTTATAATAAGTAAAACTTAAGAGCTACTTAAAGCTGTTTTAATGCGGAAAGTCAAGTAAGCTCAATATAGGTGCAGTAAATTGAGCAAAGGTGTGGGGCAAGTTGAGCACTAAGAAAGTATAATGAAACCATACATTCAATGTTGACTTGTAATGAAATTATATAAGTGTTTAACAATCAGTTTTATATTTATGCTCTTTTGGTGATAGAAAAAAACAAAATTTATAGTTTTTTTTTTTTTGTGAATAATTAACCAAAAGTGGAATCAGCAAAACAATACCGTATCTTAGGAATAACTTCACCATTAGATTCAGTTTTTCTGTTTAAAATCATTATTTTTTTAATATTTTTACTCATAAGCTTAGCTTATATCTTAAAAATAGTAATTTTTCTTTGGAAGTTAATGGTAATTGTCCTAGTAACAGAACAAGTTGTGCAACTATGCTCAACTAACCACAACTTAGAATTTCAAAATAAAAGTTTGTTTATAAAAAAATGTGAGAATTATACATAGAACCTCTCTGCATACTAAAAGTATGCTAATTATATGGAAAATTAACATTTACCTGATTAAAAATAAATGACATTTGACTATAACAGACGAAAACTTATGGTAAATAACACTCAATGACAGGTTTGAGATATTTTGATTGCCCAACTTGCCCCTAGGCTCAAAATCCGCTTGCTCTATTCTACATAAACAAATTAATTCTACACATCAATGCATTATATCATGTTTTTTTACATCCAAAACAAATTGAATAGGCTAGGCAAAAGTATTTTTTATAATTTTTTTTTTAAAAAAAACTTAAGAGTGACTTTTTTTAAGTTGTATTGTTTAACAATTACACTGTACGAAGTTTTATAGTAGCCATAATAAATAATTTAGAATAAATGGTAGCACATTGTTAAACAGATAGAAAAGTAAAATAATGACTTAAGCTTTTTGTACACATTTTGAAGTTTATTTTTGTCTAAATGGCTCGTAAATTGAAAAATACATAATGCTATTTATTTCGATCATTTTTTTTTTAAGTTATGCATTCAAGATTCATATAAATATGAAAACATATCTATTTCAAATATTATTCTATTATACTTATGCGTTTTATAATTTTTTTTCTCTTTTCCTTAACCTCTATCCATTTTGTGTGTTTCATAACTAAAATTAATAATGTGTTAATTATTAAAATTAATGTAAATGGTTTATCAGACATGCTTTAAAATACCTAGATTTTTTATCAGCGAATAAAAATACTAATATAAAATCTAATGAAGAATTGTTTGATGCTTTAACGTTAGAAAAAAATCTGCAAAAATTTAAAAATAAAATTATTAACCATAATAGATTTAATAAACACACTCATCGCCATAAAAATATTAGACAACGTAAGAAATCAGCGATCATTTTACATAAAAATAAAATGATACATGATAAAATAGTATTTCCTAATTACAATGAATCAAAGGTGAAAGATGGAGATTTCAAAAATAAATTTTCAAAGAAATTCATTTTATCTACTAACATGATCAAAAAGAAAATGAATGCACTGAGAGCAAAGCTATCAGATGGAAATATTAGCAAAGAGTTAATGAAAAACTCCTCAAGCTCAGATATATCTGTCAAATCTGCTCAATCTTTATCAAATTTTAGTAAACAAAGTTTTTTTACAAAGGCCAAATTAAACAAACAGGTAGATACATTATTGAACAGATTAGATAGATCTTTATCATATTTAATTTATTTTGTTTTATTTGTGTGTTAATAATTGCCTTAGGTCCACTTCAGTCTTCAAAGCATAACGGAAAGTCATGCATGCAAATGTAAACTTAGTTCTGAAAATATGAAGGTAGATTTAATTGATGACAAAGTTGAACATGCAGTTACGTTGAATCCCGCAAAAAATATTTTAAAAAAGCAAGATCATATAGAAAAGGATGAAGATGATTCAATATGTTTTGATGTGTTAGAACCACCTTATAGCTCTAGTACGTCATCTACAGATTCTGTTACGTCTAGTAGTGATGCTTTACTAGAAAATATTTCTGACTCCTACAAAATAGGTTCAGAAGAAAATGTGGATACTATTGTAAAAGCAGTTTTGGCACAATCTAGCAATGATGGTGTTACTAAAAAATTATGTTTACCTAAATCGGGCCTTTATAAAAACCACAGCGTTTCCGTAGAAGATATTATGTTATTACGTCCAAAAATTAATGTTATTCCGCCGCAAATCATAAATCGAAAAACAAGACTTAGTCTTAATGATGCTTCTATAAAGCATGGTGTATCTTTTTCTGCTCCAAATTCACCCCAAGGAATCAATAAAGATTGCGATACAAATAATGAGCCAAAGTTCCAGAGACTGTTGCATCACATAGGATTATTACATACGGCACCTGTCACTAACAAAGATTTTGATTTTACAAGAAGACGTCACAGCTCTAAAAACAATCAAGAATATTCTCTGACAAATAGCCTTCGCTTTAGCAATGTAAGGCGGAGTTTTCAACTTGGTTTAAGCCATATTAAAAAACCTGAAATGAAACAAGGCAGTTTAATAGGAACTGCTATGCAAACTATTTTAATGGACAAAATAAATATTATGAGTGAGATTTTGGATGAAAATTTATTAGATAAAGATAGCAAAAATGTTGAATTCAATGCAAGCAAAGAGTTCAAATGCTATGATAGACCTGAACCTAGGGAAACAGTTTTAGGCACTCCATTTATGTCCTTAGCAGATTTAACACAAACTTGTTTGGATTTACAGAAAAAAAGCAATACTTCTCTACAATGTTTGAAGGAAGAAACACCAGAAGAATTTTCCATCAAACCACAAGTAGAACGTCAGCGCAGTTTCAGCTTGTTTGATACAGCAATGGAAACAATATTAATTGACAAAGTTAATGCCTTAATGCTAACATCGCATTCAACTTTACCTTCAGAGGAAAATGATCTTTCTATTTCCAATTTCACATCTAATTTACTCAAATCATCATCAAAAGCTTTGCAAGAAAACATTGACAGTCATGTTATGTCTGATGATATTGAGTCATATTTGTTAGACACTAACCAATCCTTGCATGATATTCCTATGTTTTCCGATTCATGTAGCGACAGAATTGGAAGCAGTCCAGTACATAAGCAGCAGCAGGGTGCTAATCACCAGAGGACAGAGTCTGTTGGAAACAAAACTGCTCAAAGTCCAATCAAACACTCACATGGATTAAATATCAATAGCAGTCATCGCCGATCCTCTGATTCTGACCTGAGCATAACTCCTAAAGGTAATATAAATTTGAGTAATACATTCATACTTGAGTGAAGCAGTTCTATCAGAAAATATTATTGAACGCAAACATCATAGCTATCGTTTTGGGTAAAATATTTGTCCATATTTTCATATTGCACTTCCTAGAAAATTGGGGCAACGGTCTGGATTGTCAATGTGAATTATATAAATGAAATAAATAACAAATATATATATATATATATATATATATATATTTAAAAAATCACTTTTTTTATTTTGTAATGTTTTTTCATTTCACATATGTCTTTTAAGTATTCAGTATTCGACCGAATAGTATGAAGGTGCCGAATTTTCCAAATAACAATGAGTAACTGAATAGTCGTTGCAAACCTAGACATAGAACTTGAATTAAACATGTAGTGCGTTAGTAATATAACAACTGCGGAGAGTGATGACATTAATACGAACGAGTTTAGGTGCTATAAATGCCTAATAGTTGCCGAATGTTTGGTATTTGGCATTCTGCCTGGTATACTGCCTATTTGTTGCAAGTCATATATGTACATAATATATATATATATATATATATATATATATATATATATTCAATAGATAAGTCCTGGATTTTTTCAAATATTGATTGTTTCTTTTCCGAACAGTAAATCCAATAATAAAAAACAATTTGTTTTTTTTGAAGATGTTTAATACGACGTTTCGGAACTAGGTACGTTCCATCATCAGGTTTATTCTGTAATAATTTATATATCCATATCACTAATATTTTTTTGTTAAAAACACTCGGAAAAGAAACAATCAATATATATATATCTTCTATATATATAAAAATAAGTCGGGTTTTCCTTCCTGACGAAATAACTCCAGAACGCACGAACCGATTTCGACAATTTTGCATTCGTTGGAAAGGTCTCGGGCTCCGCAAGGTTTATAGCTAAGAAAATTAGGGGTGCATGGTATCGCGCCCTCATGCAAATTTCTGGAATTTCATGCACCGTAATTAACAATTCGAGTAATAAAAATAATCAACAATTGTTTTAAATAATTTCAAATAGATTATCTTCTATATATATAAAAATAAGTCGGGTTTTCCTTCCTGACGAAATAACTCCAGAACGCACAAACCGATTTCGACAATTTTGCATTCATTGGAAATGTCTCGGGCTCCGCAAGGTTTATAGCTAAGAAAATTAGTAGCGCATGACATCGTGGGCTAATTAAAAATTCGAGTAATAAAAATAATCAACAATTGTTTTAAATAATTTCAAATAGATTATCTACATATTCTACATATATATAAAAATAAGTCGGGTTTTCTTTCTTGACGATATAACTCCGGAACGCACAAACCGATTTCGACAATTTTGCATTCTTGCAGGTCTCGGGCTCCGCAAGGTTTATAGGTGAGAAAATTAGTTGTGCATGGCATCGTGCCTTAATGCAAGCTGCTGGAACTTCACGCACCGTAATTAAAAATTCGAGTAATGACATTAGAGAGAATTATCAGAATTATGATTGGTTAAGTCAACGAGCAATACTTGCCGCAAAGAATAATGATGTACACGCCCTAAATTTCACCATTCAATCAAAAATTGCTGGCGATTTGGTGACATGCTAATGATTCTGACTGGTCTTTCGTTTGACTTCAAATGATTGCAATTTCCAGTTTGCCTTGCGTTCGCAATAACAAGTCGCAAGGCCAATCGCTTAGTGTTTACGGGATAAATTTCAAATAGATTATTTAGAAAATAATTGTTTTTCACGTGGGCAGTTATACGTTGCCTTTTCACGAGTTGGAAAACTATCCGCTTTGTTTGTGTTAACATCAGACCAAAAAAAAAAAAGTAGTTTACCAAAGAGCACTTCAATGAAACGGATAATTTGCGGATTCACTTTCATTTACTTACAGAAGTTCAACTAAAAAACACTTCATTTTTGTAATTAAAATAAATTCATTACTGTTGTATAATAAAATCAAATTTTTCCTTTTCAAATATAAAACAAACAAACAAATTTTTCATCTTTCTCACGAAACCATCTGTTGGCGAAACGGGGTTCGTCAGGTTTGCTAGTATATATATATATATATATATATATATATATATATATATATTAAATGTTAAATATGAGCAATACAACATCACATTTTTTAACACACACTTTATTTGGTAATTACAGACGTTTCGAGACCATGGTATGCCTCATCTTCAGTGTAATTTCAAAACAGTTACTTATATACTACACATTCATTAATATTTTATTTAAATTACATTTAATTTTTGAAAATACAAAAAAATTGCCTGAGTCTTTTATCTAGGTTCTGAGAAGTCTGACCAATATAAGAACAATTACAATCCAAACAATTGGAAACAGTTGGAATATCTTTTGATGTAGATAATAAGAAATGTTAAATTTGATGTAATATTTAACTGATTGCGTGTCCATTGCATGCTACATATGTATTAATCTTAGTAGGACTAATAGCAATAATTTATCATATTTTTTGGGTATATTTACCTTTAACATTTCCACTGGCTATTCGGGTTAATGTGAGCCCTAAACGAACTAAATAATTAAATTATATGAACATTTTATTTTTTTATAAAATAATTAATTTTGAAAACTGTGTGTTAAGAGGCTTAAATTGTTTGTTAAAAACATTATACTTATTTGTATTTTTATTAAACTGTTTTATTAATATATTCTTCCCAACAATTATTAATTCATATAATGCCATTTTCAGCTAATTCTGTGGAACGCTCACAAACATCTGGTAGACCACACAACAGTACAGCTCTGTTAAGGCCATCCATGCATCAGGATAATATTGAATTGTTGGAGTACCCTTTCTTAACATTGACTAAATATCCCCAAGGATTTATTCAACATTTAGGTTAGTACAAATAAATTTTTATTCAGTTTATATTTAGTGAATTATTTTATTTATTGATGGGATCCAACCAATTATTACCTGCACTCATCCTGCTCACACTGAACATTTTCAATGTATGTTTGTTTGTCAAGATATTGATGTTCATTTTAATATGTAGTATTTCAAATAATGTAAAAAAAAAAGTAATATATGTAGTTACATGCACTAGCAAGGTAATCGCAAAAAAAAAACACATTTTTGTGAAAAGTGCAAAAAGTGGGTAATCCAGTTTTTGAGAAAACGGAGTGTTCAATTTGAATGATTTAAAAAACATTTTATTTGCATTGACAAAATGAAGAACTGAATAAATTTTTGGAAACTCAGGTTCAGGGGTTTCGAAATCCAATAAAAAAAGTAAAAAAATATGCCTTTCATTCTGCAATCTGCTTTCTTTTTTTTAAGCAATAACCTGAGACTGCTAACAATAAATAATGAAAAAATAGTATTTACTAGGAATATATAATAAATAATAATAAAAATTGATGTCATGCAACATTAGTTAATATATTTAATGCAAAATATAACTTGATAAACCAAATATAAATTATATTTTTACCACTGTAATTTTAAAATTTAAATTTATATTTCAATAGTAAAAATAACATATGTATTAAATAAGCTTCAATTTTATTAATGCAATGCTTTATGACTTTAAGGTGGTACAGTGACAGCAAGATCTGTTAAATTATTAGAGAGGGTGCCTAATCCCGATGAACCAGAAACCAGAGATACTTGGTGGACTGAGTTAAGAATGGAGATTAGATCTCATGCAAGAGCACTTGCTTGCAATGTTGTTCTCGGATATTCTGAGAGCACTACAATATCGTAAGTTTTTTACAATGTATTTTATAGAGATAAACAAAGGTTAATTATTCATATTATGTTATGAAAGCTAAATAACATAATAATTTTGAATAAACAATAATAAAAAAAAATATTATATATTTGAGATTTGTTTATTTATTTTTAGTTTGTCGGGTATGGTTTTTAGAACATTTTATTTGTTTATAAATTAATGTGTAATTCTATTGAAATACATTTTTTTAGGGATGATATCTGCGTACTGTCAGCAACTGGAACTGCTGCTGTAATAAATTTGAACTACAATGCTGCACCTATAACTGATATTAATTTAGAAACTGCGGCTCATCAAAAATCTTCATATACTAATTCTCAACAACCAATGCATACAGCAGCTGAACTTATGACAACGTCTTTAGATAGAATTCGATTTGAACGTGATGCAAAAGCAGTTAAAGTTGGTGATCAAAAGGTAACCAATATATTGCATTTTAATAATGTCTGAGATTTGTTTATACTTCGTTCATATTTTGTTAATTTGACAATTAACTAGACTATTATTTCATTTTATACTTTCACATTTTTTTATATTTATATTCATAGATATATCCTAATACATGTATCTATATCAATATTTTTATACTTTGATTGTAGGAAAATGTACCAAAAAGCACATACGCTCACCCTTTGGAACATCATTCACATAGCTTACCAGAAGAAACATCCCCTAAGATATCAAATTTTTCTCAACCTGTAGCACCATCGGCATGTTCGATTTGTCACATCCCTTACACAAAGGCATCTGTTCCTTTTCGTGTAAAGATGATAAAATGTGCAGTTTGTAGGTATGTATATAATTCAAAATGTCATATTGTCTGGTAACATTTTCTTGAAATATTAAATTTTACTATTAAGTTACTTTTTTAAATATAATTTACTATAAACATATTTCATATTAATTAAATAGATGTTATTAATAATTAAATTCACAACAGGCGTATTTTTAGAGGTTTATCTAAATACTGCAATTTAATTTTTTATATTTTATGAATCTTAAAAGCACTTGTTATTTTTAATCAAATCTTACATAGCAGCAAGTCCACGATTTGCAAAAGCATTCGAACAAAATATTGTAAGTGGTGTTTAGGCCATTTGCATGCACTTACTGATGTACAAACATAATTCATATTATTGGCAAAAATTAATTTATTTATTGATTAATTAGTTTATAACTTTTGAATGATTGTTGATTAATTTTTTTCAAATGAATCTATAATTTTGCACAATATTATATACATGGTGAGTTTATTTATTTGTTGCTAGAAGTATGTATTGTAATATATCAAAGAGATAGTAATAGATAGTAACTTGTAAATTGTTTTATGTAGTTGTTGGAAAGCTACTCTAACTTTGATAGCAAGAGCTTAGAAATCAGCATCACTTTTATAAAGAATCCATTATTTGTGTGTGAATTATACCCCAAAAAAGCAAGAGTTGGGGCGAGAACAAATGTTTTTAATGATATTCTTTATAGTGCCAGAGCATATAATTTTCTATTAATCAATAATCTATGTTATGTGAAGTATATGTGCGAGATTAAAAAACAATGAAGTTCCTAATTTGACTTACCTTCGCACTTTCAAACTAGTCTTTCAAGCTTGCCTCATTATTCAAAAAATAAAAAATCTTGCATTACAAAAACATTTTAAGTACAATTTATTCCCACTTTAGTCCAAATTCAAATAAATTTAATATCGTTAGCCATTAAAATTTGCTAAAACAATTTTATTATTTTACTTTTGTTGTGCTTTTATTTAACATCAAAGTTTAATAAAAATGGTTGATTTTAAATCACTAATAAATTCTTATTTATATTTTTTATTCAATATCCTTCATATTCATTTTAGGTCGGGCAAGGTTCCTAATGTATTATTCTGCACAGTCGAAGTTCCTGATAGTTTGCAGGTTACTGGGAGGGGATGCTTAGTTCAGGCACATGTGATGAAACCAAAACGTGACCTTAGATCAGAATTAAATGCAAGAGAAATTAGCGATAGTTTACCATTTTTGGAATATGAATTGCATCGTCTTCTTATCTCTAAACTAAAAGTGAAAGGAATGAATGCTATTTTTGGATTGAAGGTACAATTTTAAAAATCAATTATGTTCAATATGCATTTAGTTGTGTATTAGTACAAAGTGCACTTCACTTTGTTTTCTTAAGGAAGTTTGGTAGATATATAGAGAGATGTGCTAATTTCTTGACACAAGATAGAAGTAAACTGGGCAGATTTAGTTTTGTTATGTGAATCCGTTTACAATTTTTTTTAAATATTGAAAATGTATAATAAAAATTTAGCTAAATTAATTTTAATAAAGTAATAAATTCAGTTTCATATTGCACTTTTATATTTGATTTTGCACAGATATAATGTCACATCCAACTATAGCTATATATTATTTAATATTATAATTATAAATATATTATATAACATGATAAATATTATTGATTTTGCAGGCTACAGTAGCCATTGGTGAAAGAATGATAGCTGCTATAGCTACAGGAACAGCTGTGTTTCTAACAGCATTGCCACCGCCTTGCATACCTACAGTCATTTCAGGAAATAGTTTAAAAGATCTTCCACGGCTGGCAGAACTACAAAGAGCTATGCAAGATACTTTAGATACAAATCGTGATGTTTACCAATTAAATCCAACAGATGTATGTAAAGTATTACTTTTATTTGAAATGTAGGTTATTATGGTGGGAGTTTAATAAAAAATCACAAAATATACACATGAGGGGCAGGGGGTTTAAAAGAAATTCAAATTTTTTCAAAAAAAAATCCAAAGATTTAATGTTTTTCTGGGTACTAAAAATGCACCTGATGTTTGATGGCAGAGGGGGAAAAAATTATATTACTAGGGGGTATGGAGGGGTCCAAAAATCCTTAAAAATTGATTACGTGATTAACCACTTAATGCTTATGGCCGAGCTCAGTTCGTTAGCGCAAAACTGGCAAATTTGCATATGAACGAACTCAGATCGTTCATATGAATTTTTAAATTCATTGCAGCATGTTGGACTGCCACTGAATTACTCTTTGAATGAAACTATTTCTAAATAATACAATTTAGATTAACAATTAGTGAAAATGAAACTTTTTTTTTTTAAATAAAACATGCAGCATAAAAAATTTTTATCTACATATTTTAAGCATCTTAAATAATTATTACACACAATTATTATATAATGTTAAAAAATGATAACGTTTGCATTATATTTATTTTATTTTTAACCTTATTTCAGTTTTTTGGTTATTCAACAACTAATAGCTTCATACAAACATTTTGATAAATCTTTTATAACTTAAAATAATTTGTAAAGGAAAATATACAAATTAATTATAAATATTTTGTAAAATTATTTTGTTTTAGAGATTAGATGGGAACAAAGCAAATCCGTCAGACACAGAAGATAGTGATGACGAGCTTGCAGATTTAGATCTGGGTGCGGGAAATAAAGATGCTTGCATTATTGAGGTATAGTACAAAAGTATTGAAACATTTTTAATTGAAATGTATAAAAGAATATTTGTATATATATATATATATATATATATATATATATATATAATATTGCTTTCTACATGTTAATGTTATAAGATAGCCATTGTCTTGTTTATTAGGTAGATGATACTGAAGATTTGGAGATGTTGTCATTGCTGATGGAACCGAGACCTCCAGATGGATTTCATGTTGTGAATACACAAGCAGTGCCTGGTTTACAAGGATTGGAAATCATTAGAAATTTACAGACATTTGTTCAAGTTTGGCGTGCTAAATTACCACACAACCAAGCCAATAGTATGTTTCCAAAACATTTTCAAAGGTATTATATGATTGGATTTTATTGGATATATATATATATATATATATATATATATATATATATATATATATGTTAAAGTAGTTAATTTTGATGTTGAGAAATATGAGTAAGTTCTTCAAGGGCATACATCAAATAAAAGGCAAAGATTTAGAAGTTAATCTTTAATTTTTCCAAACGTTTCGACATAGTATTTTATGTCATCATCAGTGGATCTACAGAATGAATATTGAAAAATTATTAAATTTTTCCAATTTCTGTCATTTTTTCCTAGATTATATTAATTTTTCAATATTCATTCTGTAGATCCACTGATGATGACATAAAATACTATGTCGAAACGTTTGGAAAAATTAAAGATTAACTTCTAAATCTTTGCCTTTTATTTGATGTATGCCCTTGAAGAACTTACTCATATATATATATATATATATATATATATATATATATATATATGCCATTTCACATCATGGTGCCCGAAATGGGCTATTTTCAATTGAAAACATATTTTTAAACTGTATTTTTAAGTGAAAAGGCACATTGCTGCTGCCCAAGGTTGTCCAGAGCAAAATTACAACTCACGACCCCGTTCACACGAGTCCGAGAGCTTTACCATTACACCAAGGAATACTCATATTATATATATAATTTTCTAAATAAAAAAAAATTGACAGATGTTCTGAGGATGAAATATGCTTAATTCCGAAAATTGTTACATATTGAAAATCATTAACAATTGACTGCATGAATGGCATTTGATGAATGATTTCAATATGTATTTTACAAAAGTTATATGTTTGTTTTCTTAATTTTCAGATTATTACAAAGTATCTATTTTAAACTTCGGAGTATGATACCATGTGCTGTCTGTGACTTGAGATTTAGATTAGATTTGCCAGAATCTGTGAGTGTAATAAAATATTGTATTCATACTTTAAGGAAGATTGCTTCTGTGAAATTCTAAAATCAGTTTGCATGCATTTTAATCAGTTATTCTGTCAATATATAGTGATTTATATATACACAATGATATACATTTATCATTTCAAATTTATATTTCAGGATGAACTTCAGCTACTAGTGACGGGAATGGCCCTAGGTTTAGGAGAGCCAGCTAAATTTAGCACTACAAATAAGAAATTTATTTCTCACTCTCTCAGTAAGGATCTTTCACGAGGTATGGATTTATTATTGATTTTTAGTCTGAAATATGATTATTATTGTTATTAAGTTTGCCATATTCAGTGTTTGCCAATAGCAATTATTTGTGCATTTGATGTTCATTGTTTAGCAAAAAATATTTTATTTTGAATCAAATTTTTTATTAGCTAGTTTCTTGATGTGAAATTAAAAAACACATTCAGCCCTTAATTTTAGCTCTAGAATTAATGAGTGAACGACCGAATAAATGAGTGAGCCACTGATTGAATGAATGAGTGATTGACTGAATGAATATATATATCTTTATTTTATTTTATTATTATACACTAGAGCTAAAAAGACGCCAATTATATAATCTTCAATAATACTAAATTAGTATTTTAAATATATTTAATAGGGTTTGTCGGTTTTCAAAAACCGGTTTTAAAAACCGTTTTTTTGACGAAATTTATGAAATTCGAAAACCGGTTTTTTAGTAAAAAAAGCCGGTTTTTACTGTATAAATGGAAAATGACAAATATAGCCTAATATAAAATGCGACGCAGCTATTTGATTCTTGGAATCATATCGGTTCAATAGCGTTTGGAATCTTATCATTCTGCTATGGTTCCCAGAAAGGTTTTGTGTTATCTTTTGTCTAATGTATATATTAATTCTAATGTTTATACGAGTGTTTATATTAATTCAGATCAATGGACTTCTTGTTTCTTTATGTACAGTTTATAAGTTCAGTATTCAGTGTTCAGTGCCATTGATCGATATTTGATACTTATTATTATTTTACTTTGTTATTTTATTATTATGAAAATATATATTATTATTTAAACTATTTATATTTTTGTAGTCTAAAATGTCGGACTGGAATGGAATTATTTAAAAAAAGTAGACAAAGATAAAGCGCGATGTATTTATTGCAATAAAATGCTTTCTTGCAAAGGATCAAGCACAAGCAATTTACATAATCATTTGAAAACAGTACACGATAAAAAAACGAAAAAAATTGTCAGATGCCGGCTCGACTTTACAAACATGTACACAACCACGTATTTTTAATTTTGTGAAAAAAACTAGTTTAGAAGAAATAGTGTCAAAGCTCGCTGCATTAGATGGACTATCAATTAATTGCATAACAAATAGCTCAATTATAAGAGAGTCATTACAAAAACGGAATTATTGCTTACCACAGAATAATTCTAGGGTTATGGAACTTATTTACAACTTTTACGAATCTATAAAACATGAAACTATAAATGAAATAAACTGTATGAAAAATAAAGGACAAAAATTTTCTATAACTATAGATGAATGGACTAGTAAAGGAAATCGAAGATATTTAAATATTTTTGAAATCACATTTTATCAAACAAAAAAATAATTAGAATTTTGAAAATTAATTCATTGAAACTACTCGAAATAGAAAATACTCGTGGCTTAGCTTAATTGTTTTTAAAACTAAAATTGATATTATCAAGGATGTATCTAATTTTTTTTTAATTTAATATTTTTTTTTATTTTAAATTGATTCATATATTCGAAAATTCGAAATTGCCTTTCACTATCATAGAAATATTTACATTCTTAAATGTGAAAGTAATGCATAAATAACGAATAATTATTTTCAAAATTATTTAATTCACATAAACTATTATGTAACTATTTTTGATCTACTAATTAAAATAAAAATAATTTTGTTTACTATTTAACTAAATTTAACAATAAATAATTTCAATCAAATACTGCTTAAAATCGCACTAAATTTGTGGATTAATTTAGTTATTAACAGAATATTCGAGCAAAAATTTATTTTCTATATAAAATTCGAAAACCGGTTAAAACCGGTTTTCTGGCAAAATTAAAATTCGAAAACCGGTTTTCTGAAATGTCGGTTTTTGTATAAACCCTAGTATATAATGTGAAGTTAGTATTTACAATTATTTTTCTCTGTCTTTGTTTATAAAAGGAAATAAATGTAAATGCGGTTTACTTGTGAGCATTTGATACATATTGTTCATCGTATGTACAAGATTAAATTCAATATTAATATGTTCCTTCAGTAATTTAACATCTACAAATGGAAGATGAATTATAGATTTTGAACTTTTGGAATTTTGTTGCTCATATTTATAAAATCATTTTGACAATTGAAATCTTGTGCCAACATTATCAGTATCATTTTTAAAGCATTTTGTTGGACTTTTTGATAGCGCAATTAGAAGAAATTATTTTTTTTTATTTCATTTTTTAGTTATATATAAAACATTATACTTTACAAATTTTATATACTCTGCATCATATATAATTTTATATACTCTGCATATGCATATTAACTGTTTTTAAATATTTTAGTATAGAAACTATTTAATCTGGAATTAAACTATTTTCTGTCCTGAAAATATGAAATAGTAGAAACTTTTTTGGAGAATAGGAATTCCATAATCACATCTTATTACACACAGTCTCATGATGTACATTTTTCAAAATACCAAAGATTACTGCAAAAATATTATATTAAATGTATTGGCAAATACAAGTCTGAGTTTATTAAGTATTAAGTTTTAATATAGGTTTTAATTATTTTTTTTCTTATCAGATAACGATTTAATATTTAGTTTAGAAGAAGAACAATTGTTTGATGTAAATGAGGAAGCACCAGTATCATCTCCCCTACAAGAGAAACTAAACAATTTAGCACTTTTGAGAAATAAGTCGAGCGGGCTTAGTTTATCTAGACATGTAAGTATATATATATATATATATATATATATATATATATATATATATTACATAATTGTATTCCATATGATATTTTCTTTTTTTTCAAGTTTAAAACATTTTGAAAAATTCCTAAATTTAAAAAAAAAAATTAAATAAAATTCAGCTGGACCGAAAAACATTTTAAAGCGCTTTGATTAACAGATTTGGAATTTAATTTCATAGGACAAATATGTGTGATAATAGCATTAATAATATTCAATCAGCCTATTAGCTGTAAGGCTATTTTAATTCACTCATTCGCTCTATACAAGTTTTTTCAGTTTTGATTTGGAATTTATAATACACTTTAATCAATACACAGTTACAAAGTTTTTTGTTATATATTTTAGTTACCTCTTAGAGAACGATATGGGGTGGACATAACTCCGCTAAGTTATGTACCTGGTGGAAGAATTGATAGGTACTTAGGAAACTTGAACTTTTTTTTCATAAGAGAAAGTACTTCTATAAGAGAGAATGGTGGCATAAGTGGATTTGTTCACGGTTTTATTACTGAGGTATAGTAACAAACCAAAATGATTACTGACTGAAATTATTCTGAAATAGTTAATTTGTGTTTATTTTAGTTCACATTTCAAATTTATTTTTTAGTTTTTTCAGTTAGTCATTCACATGTCTCTTTTAGTCAAGTACTCTATTCAATAATATTTATAAAAATATTTTGTGTGTATGTAAAAAATTTAATACCGTTTTGAAATCAATTTTATTATAATAGATTCTTGCAGTGGTACGAGCTCATGCCACAGCATTGGGTGGTAATGCTATGGTGGCATATTATATGACAGAATTAATACTAGTTGACAATTTACATAAAAATCAAGTAAGTTTTAAATTTTTTTCTTTAAAATTTTGAATAAACTACGAATACATTTTTATAAGACACATATTTGTAAACATATTTATATAATTAAATTTCAAATTCCACTCCACATACTTTCTTGGTTTTATTGTAAAAAATAGAAACTCGTGTCTATTTGGTTTTTCTAGTTAAATTATGTATAAATTGATTTAATTTACTGATGATTGATAAATTGTATTAATTGATTCAAGCAATAAGAATAACTATTTATTTCCATATTTCTGGATAGCTGCATCATGAATATGTGTAATAGGGTATTCACAACTTTTATATCCCATTTTGGAAGTTGGAAAAATTCTGATATACCATTATTCAATTTTCTAATTCATCTTTTTGCCAAGATATCATTGAAAATACGCAAATTGGCTCTTTTTTTTCAAACTCACTTTGGTGGTAACTGTAAAATATATCTAGACCGAAAAGTGTGTAAATACCAGAATGGGTTTGTATGGAAATGCTTCCATACCCTATATACAATCTTTTCCCCCAGAAAGTAAATATTATGGAAAGTTTTTGATATTTGCTAAATGAAATTGCATACAAAACATGATATTAAACAAATTTTACTTTATTCATTAAGCTATTTTGCAAGCTTATGTGGAATTAAAATGTTTTATTGTACTTTTTCAGGGTCAGTGCATAGTCAGCGTGGGCGGAGATGTGGTATTTGTTTCTTATTTCACAGATGATTAATTGAAGTCAATTATTTTTGTATATTGCTTTAACAAGTATGAACTGATATAAATAAATTAAGGAACTAAAATATTTGTAAAGTCCCAATAGATTTGTAAAGAGTGCAATTGTACACCAATACAATTAGTTTGGGCAATAGTAGATTCAAAGTCATTTTAAGGTGATCAAAATTTGTGCATTATTACACTGTTGATCTCTTCTTCGACTTACTAAGCATAGATTAATACTTCAAATTATTTGATATGGATGTTTGTTTCTCAAAACAATTCAAAAATATTTAAATCAGATAGTTTTGGAATATATTTATACCAGCTCTATATATTCAAGTGTGTTTGTTTTGCCTCACTAAGTTAATGAGTTCATTTGAAATTTCCAAAGGCTTGACAAATTAATCTCATTGTAAATCAATTTTTAATCAGAATAAAAATTCATAATTTAATTGGAATATAATCACTTATAAAGAAAACTATGTTTGAAGAGATATGATAGTGTATAAAGGATTATTTTGAATTTTACATTGTTTTCAAAAATTTAGGAAACTGAATAATCATGTTTTGGTTATCTTATAATATATAAAGAGACTTCTGTAATATAAAAGTTGTTTGTTAAAATACATAAACTCAGGCTTGCATTTCTTTTGAATTAATTTTATTTTATTTACATTGATGCATTTAACACTTAATATGTGTGAGTTGAGTTGATAACTCAGTTATTCTTGGAGCAGAACTTCACATTATAAAATATTTTTGAAAATTATTAGTGAAAGGTTATTATAATATCCTCACATCAAAGCATGTAAGGTAAATATACCATAATCTGATACTTTTGCTGTTGAATTCTTGAACCGTGCAACATATTATCAGTTACGATGCATTTTTTTTTAATACTTATTTGAGCAGCGATCCGAACACTAAAGAGTTTTATGAGCTGTTGTGATGAATTTCTCACAACTAAATTTTTTTTTTTATAGATCACAAACCAAATTGTTATCCCATTTCTATGTGCTGATTTTTATTATTACAGTTATTGTAATAATGACAATTATTTATTGGTGCTGTAAAACCGTATCACGGCTATTTTCACTTGGAAACATTCAAACACTATTGCTTGACAACAGGCTGTTCGAAGCGGGATCGAACCCAGGACCTCTGATCCAGGTCCAGTTGTTCTAACCACTTAACCTACGAGCGAGCAGCCCTGTTACAATGCTAAATATTAGCCATAAATTGCTATTGTTTGTGCTTGTGACTTATTTATAGTCGAAGCATTTGTCATGCGGATTTAAATTTATTAATTCTCTTAGGGTAAGATAGTGATTGCAAAAGAATCGAAAATGATTTTTTTTTTTTTATAAATCTTTACGTTTAAAAATTTTCAGAACATTTCGATACACCTTAAAAAAAATGAATGTATGTGTGTGTGTTTGGATACAATTTTTTTGCCAACAATGTCGAGAATACGGTTCCACCCATTTGAATAATTCAAAAACATTCGATTCGATTTTAGAAAAAATGGATGTGTGTGTGTGCGGATACAAACTTTCGTCGACGATTTCAGGAGTACTATTCAACAGATTTCAATTATTCGATTTCTATTGATAAGGAGACGTGCTGATTAGTTTTTGGTAAAAGCAGGTCTAGCCGTTTCGAAGATACGGGGTAAAAAGTGCCAAAAACTATAACTCAGTTTTCAAGAGAACGGAGCGTCCGATTTTAATAATTCAAAAAACATTTTACATGTATTGACAAGATGAAGAACTGATTGAATTTCTGGGCAGGCAGGTTTAGCGGTTTCGAAGATCTAGTGAAAAAAGGAAAAAAATGCCATTTGGCGGTCAAAAATGATCATTAGATATAGACACATCAAATTATTAGATATTTTATGGAGATTTTAATAATACGTATTAATTTTGTTTACATTTCTATGGGTTTCAGAATTTCCAAAATATTTCAAAATAAAGAATTTTTTTTCAAAGTCTTTTTATTCAAAAATTTTTGGTACGGGAAGTACCAGCACGATGCCCTGCACCGCTAGATTTTATATCTTTATTAGATAGATAGATGAGCAAATTCGTATGTGAACATTTCATGCCTAGATAAAAGAAGAGTATGATTCACATAATTCGAATATTCGAATATTCAAATGAACATCAAACGTGCTTCAACTTCTTTTATCTATGGTGCTTCAATAAATTAGTTTAAGTCATAGTGTTGCCGCTGCAGCCAAAGTTGTTAACATCGAGTTCGAGTGACAAGTAATTGCCCGATTGCTACGCTGCCCTCCTGTTATTGTAGGTGTTTATCAAAATGGCGAACTGAACAATACATAGTATGAGAAAAGATGTTATTACAAAAATAATGTAAACGTCTGTTATATGATAATTATAAGAGTGAAAATTAAAAGTAAGTTGATAAAATGCTCTATGTTCACTTGTTTCTTTTGTGACTTCATTATCGACTTCTGATATATGTTGTGCATTTATTGTCATTAGAAGTACCCCAAATTCACCGACTTGGCCGTAAATTAAGTTTCAAAATATTTTCAATAGAGTTATTTGTTGAAATTTTGAAAGGTAAGGAAAGTTAATGTTTTGTTCGAAATACAAAGCTGATTGTTTTTTGCATTTATTTTATGATGGACAAAGTGAACTCTCACTATTTGATTGAATATGTGAAAAGACTTCAATTTATTTCTATATTTTTTTAAGCAAGATATGCTTCGGATTATATGTATATATAAATATATATATTTATTTATTCATATATATAATACGTAAAGTGTGTATGATGGTGTATTGTATGTTTTCAAAAGTCTTAGTAGTAGCTGGTTTAGTGCAAATTTGGTCTATAATTTGCTATGACATTTGTTCCTGTCGGTTTTATACAACAGATGGAAGTCGAAAGAATGTTTTTTTCTTGTTTTAATGTAAACAGAAAAACTTGTTTTTTTCTGTTTATAATTTAATAAGAAACTTTTTTATTACATTTTTTTTGCAAATTATTCACTACTAAAATTAAAGAATTAAAATTTTGCAAAATGTGCTATTTATGTGCTCGTTATGAATATATAATATTGCATTTTATAAAAAATAATTCTAAATAGCGTGCTATCTCATAATGAAGGTAAGTAGAAAAACAATAAGATTGTGACATTAACAGTAATTTGTCAATTACAGGAAATTTCCAAGAAATTGACAAGAATATAGACGTAATAAATTTGTGAAGTGAAAATATTGATGATTTTATTTATATGTTAATATAGTGTTACAAATGTGGTAATTTTTGAATACAACTCATCAATCAAGTGAAGTGAAGGGTTTTTTGGCTTTTGAAATAAACAATATCACTTAACGTGCTGTTATGGCTGATTCAGATTGTGCACCTCCTGGTACAGAAGTTGAAAAACAAGAAATTAGTGATAAAATGGACGAGGTAAATATGAACACAATATGAAGCATTATTAGTTAAAAAGATTTTTTCATTAAAACCTATTTAAAACTAAATATTAGTTCTGTGCAGATTTATTTGTATATATTATATTTGGTAAGTATGAGTGTTTTTCATTATAAAGAATATCAATTCAAAAGTTTCTCATGTCATGTATTTGACATTCTTCAATTACATTCCCGCAATGCATATCATAATTATTGTACACAATGCACATTCATGAATATCTTTATATATAAACTTCTACATGTATATATAAGCCATTATTGTCTGTCGCCAGTAGTTTACAGTTAGCTTGCATAAATGCACTTGATACTAATTAACCAAAATTGTATTTTGTATGTCATTCAAATGTCATACTAACAACAAAAACTACAAATAAAAATAAAGTGAAAAGATAAAATCTTAAAATAAATTTATTTCTGTTCATACATGAAAGAAAAGTAGCAATGAGATATAATACTTAAATGTTTTCTAGTAAATTTTGTTTTTTGTGTTTCATTCAAATCATTATTGACAGACTTTTTTTAAACGGTATGATCACTTGGCTATATGAAATTAGTTCAACTTTGGTGAATTACCTCTATCGGAAAAATTCTATGTACTAATTTTTGCAAAATGTGTAAAAGTTATTTCTCATACTGAATAATTGGAATGGCTATATTGGCACTGATTTGGAGAATATTATTTGTAGTAATTAGTAATAATTCAAAGGTTTACACCACTTTAGAAGTTCTGTTGAAACCAAATGTTTTGTCTTAAGATGTGTGATGAATATGATAGAATCATTTCCCAAAATTCTATGACCTCTCTATGTATGTGTAGATAATCGACCAAATCATCCTACAAAGATTTATCAAAAAATATTTTAAACTAAAGAGGCTTTCAAACAGTTTTTGAATATTCAAAATCTGCTGATGATTTTTAGCTAAATCATGGACCAAAAAAATTGCACTTTCTACTAATTATAAAAAGCGGTTTGATTGATCGCCATGAAAAACGAATCAATGCAAACTCATTTTGAATTACCTTGAATGACTTGAATGTTACGATGGTCTATCTTCAAAAGAAACAACACCAAACGAACAAGGCGACATACAGTTTGACTTCACACACTGGAAACAATTTGTTTTTCGAAGAAGTCACTGCCATAAAGTACGCTGATGGTGTTATCAAACATTTGATAACTATGATGATTATTGTTTTCACAGTAGAAAGACGATAGAGAATCAAAGATTGACATCGACAAATTTATAGCAATGACTATCGAATAGTTATATACCACACCGGATACAAGTGGAAAATAAGGAGCTGAAAAATGTGCATGATTTTAAGTACTTAGGAAAAATAATATTTGGGACATAATTGCAAGGGCCTATGTGGCCTTGTTCACAAACTAAAGAATAATGCCGATGAGAAAACTGCCTCAACCTGAGAAGAAGCTAATAAAGAGCTTTATTTGGAGTATTCCTCTGTGTTGATTGTTGTTGTTGATTGCTCTGTGTCTTCAAAACTGATGTTACATAGTTCTTAACCAGAAGTTGATTAAATAATTTATGCATAATACATAACAAATATCAAAGTATTATTAACCATTTCAAAATTACTTTACCATCCGATTCCATCTTTTTTTTGTTTTTTGTCCATTTCATGGTTTCTTGTCTGACAGTTGAAACAAAATGAATTTCGTATAAAATGGTCCAATTAAGCATTCTGGTTTATTAAAAAAAATCTTTTTACTTCTAATTTCGCTTTAACTAATTAT